TCACAGTGACCCTACAGGACAGAGTAGAACTGCTCCTTCTGGTTGGCAAGGCTGTTACGTTTGTACAGGAGCAGCGAGCGCCTCGTCTTTCTCTTGGGGGGAACCCCCTGTGCCACCAGGGATCCGTCCTGGCAGCAGAGGAGCACCATAGACCCGGGCTGCATAACCAGCACAGCCTGGCCACTGGCTGGACGAGCTGCAGAGAACCATATGGCCCTAGCGCTGAGGTGCACCCAAGCCGAAGCAAAGACGCCCACACGACCCCAAGAAGGCACTTACAGATGGGGGTTGAAGATGCGACTCATCTTGGAAGCATGGTCGTTTTCACAGTCACGGTCGTCGTCGGCTTGCTCCATGCTGAATTTCCTCTTGCTGGGGCTGATGGGAGGAGGGCCTGTGCGGTGGCTGGTGAGGGCAGAGGTCACGGGGAGGGTCTGCATCCTGGGCTCTCCCCTGAGAGCAGCTTCACCTGCGCAGAGAGATGACGGAGCGGTCAAGTAGCAGCAATGCCCCCAGTGCAGTCCCCCAGCCCCGCCTCCCGCCTGCTCGGTCCCAGTGGAAAGTCTTTGGCAAGGGGACGGGCCCGCCTGCCATTCTCAGAATACGGTCTGAATGTACAGTCAGCTGCCAAGGCTGAGGCATTTTACACAAACGTGGTTTTTTAGCACAATAACTCTTTGGGGTAGAGTTTAAAAATAAAAGCTGCAATAAAGGAATGGGGGCGGAGGCATTGGCCACAAACAATCTGGAAAGGTCACCTGAAGTAATAAAGGTCTTGGCATGTGGGCATTTGGCTCCACACCTGTAAGAAAAGTCCCTCTGCACCCATTCATGAACACTGCTACACCCGACTCACTTTTCTGGCTTGTTACATTTTAAAAATATTTTTGGAATGTCACTTTGTCCCATGAAGAAAATGTATGGGTTGGTAGTTCAAGTATTCCCCCTGCAGTCCCCCCCAAATTACAAAGAAATAAAAATACATTGTTTAACGAGAAATCTCAGCTTTTTACAGTATACTCAAAGAGGCACATTAAGCCTATTATGGTTATTATTGGGGCAGGGTGCCTGCGCCCACATAACTTGTCTCCAGCGTACACGTAAGTAACTGTGCGCGAAACCGTTGCTCAGAAGTCAGAGACAGTTTAATTTGACTAGGCATCTTGGTAAAGTGTTTCACGCCGGATTTTTTAAAAACCTTTGGGTTAGAGTGGTAACTTTTCCCTACCTATAAATTGAACTAAGCGTCGTCGCCTCAGATAATTCATCAAGGCGGTATAACTTCTAAAAGGTAGGCGCAGATGTAATCCTCGCTTTCAGAGAAAACATCCAACTTTCCCAGCCCTATGGGGAGGGGGCCCTGCCTTTGGCACAGATAATGGCCCCTTTGTTGTGCCGGGCGTGTTGGCCTCAAAGCCTGTCCCCACTTGGTCACAATCTCAGAGAACCATTAGGTGAAAGTCAGCTTCATTCGGGGCCTTGTGGTCCCTGAGCAAGGAGACCCTTGTCTGCCGCCACGTTATTTTCCCATCATCGCAGAGGTGCGGGCAGCGGGGACAGGAGTCTGCTTCATGCCCGCACGACAAGCCTGTTGTTGTTAGGGAAAGAGGTGAGGCAAGAGCCTTCTGAATGTTCACCAGGAAAAATAGAATGTTTGCCAGCTTAGCCAGCAAGATGTAAACTAGCAAACATACAGTGACCCAGAATAGCCTTCAGCCGGGGTTTCTCGTCAAGGTTCTGGCAGAGCAGCAAAGCTGGGACTTTCCATCTTATGCGAAACGCCCCCAAACAGGTCCTCGCGGGCCTGCTATACGCAGGACGCTCCAGTTACACCGACTTTGCCCCCTAGTTTGTATTTCACTTTAAACAACAAATACTTATACCTTGCTAAATCATAATAGCCCCACCCCCTACCCCACCCCTCCCCCCCACCTTATGCTGTCCAGTATGAGCCTCCATTATCTATGGACCCCCAATCCATGATGACCCTGCACCAATGCATTGTGTCTGACAACAGACTGCTGTGATTGTTGAGTCTGAGTTGCTTACTCATCACCACAGAATTGATTCTGACTCCGACCGACCCTGCATAGGGTTTTTCCAAGGTTTTGGAAATCTTTATGGAAGCAGACGGCCTCATCTTTCTCCCTTGGAGCAGCTGGTGGGCTTGAACCACCAACCATGTGGCTAGCAATCCAACGCTTATGTGACAGTGCCACTGGGATTTGTGTGAATATATGGCAAAGGGGGCTGTAACTGTTTTAATGAAATAGAGAACATCTGCTCTGGGAATGAGGGCCCTGGTGTTCTGATCTTGACTCTTATTTAAGACTGGTGGGTGGTTCTACTGAAGCCCAGTCCCACTCAGGAACCCGTGAGACCACCCTGAGTTAGCATCACCTTGGGGGCAATGAGAGATGCAGATAGGGTGAACTAGCTAATAACAAGAGTTCCTTTCAGATCCTGGCATATGATCCAATCCTATGATCCACAGCCCTATCATCCATCTATCAAGTAACCAACCAACTAGCATTTACTAAGAAATTATAACTTGTATAATACTGAATTAAGGGAACGAAACCCACAGTATATACCTCATGGATTATACTGAACCGAGGTAAAAGAGTAAGTCTGTGGTCAGATATATTTGGAAACCATTATATTAAACAGCTTTCACAGGCATTTCTTAGCTATCAAACTTCTTTTCGTCTAAGGCACAGTGTGTTTCCAGACAGAAACCCAGTCATGCGACGTTCAATCTCCTCCCCCTTCGTCCCCATCACCCTACACAGTGCTGTAAACTCAGTCTTCCAAAACACCAGGTGAACTCGGCAACTGGTCCAGAGCCTTAAATACCCAAGCCACTGAAAAACATCCTGCATTCAAACCCGTTTGGCCCCAACAACTTTTCCAGCTTTCACTCCTGGTACTATTTCTCTTTGTGAATCCTAGAATTTCAGCCCTGAGAGTTAAAACTAGATGAGCCACCATATTGACTCGGGCTCCTTCCCCAATCTTCGTGTATTTTAATACTATCCATTTTGCCAGTCTGTTAAAATGCCTCCTCCCCTTCAGGAAGTCTCTCTTGATCACTCAAGGTGAAAGTCATTACTTCATTCCTCTGAACACCCACAGCAGTTTATCATTCTGGTACTTCTCTTCCTATTTTGTTTCGTGCCCCTTACAGCAGAGGGCGTTTTATCCACTGTCTGTGTCTAAGATAAGGTGACCAGATTTTAACATTGGTAAAGCGGGACACCATTGATAAAATTCATATCCTGGTGAAATAGCCACATGGCAGCCAAAAATCGTATACCCTAGCTTGTCGTGCATTCTTTCCAAAAATCGGGACTTTTTAAAAATGCCGTGGGACGCGGGAAATATTGTTAAAAATCGGGACTGTCCTGCCAAAAGCGGGACATCTGGTCACCTTAGTCTAAGAGCATAGCGCAAGGGCCCTTCCATATTGCAGATGGTCAATACATACTAACTGAATGGATGACTACTTGAGGCAGGGCAATGGGGTGGCCAGATTATAGAGCTCAGGATGTGCTAAAGATCAAAAATACCGTTAAAATAAAGAATTCTCAAAGATTTAGGGATGTATTTAAAAGAAGACATAGAAATGATGAAGAATTAGCCATCAGGTACATTCAACTCAAAATCATAATGAAATGTCACTGAATGCCCCTACAAGGGCCACGATCAAAACCAGGGAATAACTAGTATTGGTGAGAATGCAGAGAGACTGGAACCCTCATTCACTGTGGGCGGAAATGGAAAGTGGGCAGGCACTGTGGAAAACAATCTGGCTGTTCTTCAAATGGTTAAACACAGAGCCATTCCTAAGTACACATTTAAGAGCTATAAAGAAAACATTTGTCCACACAAAAACTTGTGCATGAATGTTCAAGTTTGGCTATTATTCATAATAGCCAAAAGGTATAAAAAAATAGATGTTTCTAACAACCGATGACAGGATAAATACACCCACACCTTAGGTATCAACATGGCTTTCCAAGATGAGGCTGTTAAGCAATAGTGTTGTGTGAAAACGGAGGATGACTACATCAGATCACAACACAGATGACTGTCCCCTTACATAACTGCCAAGTCCCCTGTTACTTTGTCAGCTGTCAAACCACTGAGACTCAGGGACCAGCCAAGTTGACACATAGCCTTAACCATCAGTAGGGCAGGCTTACTCTCACCTCACACCTCAGCATTTGTTACTACCAGAGGACATGCTAATTGTGCAAATTAGGCTTTTTACTGTTGCTGTAAACGCAAAATGTCAGATTAGCAGGATAGTCAATAATGAGGAATAGGTGGAAAATGTGGTATATCCACACAATGGAGTATTATTTGGCAATACAAAGAAATGAAGTACTGATGCACTCTATAAGAAGGATGAACCTTACGACTGCATAGTGGCCAATTTAATTCATATCAAGTGTCCAGAATAGGTAACTCCATAGAAATTGAAATTAGACTAGTGGTTGGCAGAGCTGGGGTGGGGGGATAGTGAGACATGACCACTAATAAGGATGGGGCGTCTTTGAGGAATGCTCATAATGTTCTGACATTGTGTCAAAGTCTGCACAGCGTTGTGCGTATATTAAAACCACAGAATTGTATGCTTTACATAGTACATGAATTATATCTCAGTAAAGCTATTAAGCCCTGCCAGAAAGAGAGGGGGGGGGGGGGAGGGGGGGACGGACGGACATGTGCAGGTAGGCAGATAGGTACAGACATGAGACCCCAGTACTATTATAGATTCTTCTCATTTTCATGATATTAACACTCAGTGTTCAGACTCATCCATTAATTTTCCCTGGAGCAAAAATAAATCTTACGTTACTGTAGTTATATTTCCCTCTGATGTTAAAATCTGATGAAAAATTAAGACATTACTTAGTATGCTCTAAGGAACCTAACCAGAGAACTGCTGGGAGTTATTCAGGCACTTGGATTCATTAGAGCCCACTGAAAGCTGAGGTGCAACTTGCAATCCATCAGTCAGTCAGAGCGGCTGAGAGCCTACTCCATGCCCAAGGCTGTGCAGGTCCTGTCAGCAAATGATGAAGAAGAAATGTATACAGTCCTGACCATGGCGGGTGGAGACGGAGACACACGCACGCATGCGCGCGCCAAAGGAATTTATCTTGGGGATGTACAGAGACATTTATTTTCCCCTTTTGTTCTAATGTGTGTTCCAAATTTCCCAAGGGTTTGGAAACTGAAAAAAGAGAGAAGATTGTCTTTCTCCTTTTTCCTTTTGAAGGATAAACAGAAGGGAGATCTGAGCTGTCTGCGTAATCCAGTAGTGTATTACTGAGTTTCCCAACCTGGCTTAGCTACAATTGTCAATTTAATGTTTTCTTTTTGGCTTCTGTTCACAATTATAACTAAGGAAGTTCAATCTTAGACTGTATTTGACTTTTTAATGAAAATATTTGTATGTAA